ACTCCACATGGTATACGTAGGTTAAAGCTGGCAAGAGGGCTGGAGGGATGACTCAGCTGTTAGAGTACCACCTGCTCTAAAGAGCATCTGCCTTGATTCCCAGCACCGCCGTGGCAGCTCACAACTGTCTGTAATTCCAGTTTCAGGAGCTCTGATACCTCTTCGGGATTCTGTGGGCACTGCACACATATACCCAACAAAAACACACAAAGCAAAATACTCATATACACAAAATAGAAATATAATAAAATAAATCCTTTTAGAAAAAGAAGCCAGGGGTTGGAGAGATGGCTTGATGCTTAAGAGCACTAATTGCTTCTCCAGAGGACCTGAGTTCAGTTCCCACATAACAGCTCACAATTGTCTGTGAATCCAGTTCCAGGGAATCTGACACCTTCATACCAATGCACATAAAATAAAGTTAAAAAAAAAATAGAAAAAGAAGTCACCAAACCGGGCAGCAGTGGCACACGCCTTTAATCCCAGCACTTAGGAAACAGAGGGAGTTTGAGGCCAGTTTGGTCTACAAAGGGAGTTGCAGGACTGTTACTTAGACACTCCAGTCTCGAAAGAGAAAAAAAGGGAGGGAGGAAGGAGGGAAGAAGAAAGAAAAAACGAAATTTGATCAAAGTTAGAAAAAACTGTTGAAGGGGACCTTAAAAGAGAAACTGGAATGTTTACTGTTTCTGGAGTTTTGTCTGTCCTGTATTACCCTTGCTGAGCTCTTTCTCCAGCCCCATTCCTAATCTGCATTAATCAGAATCATCAGTCGTGAGAGCTTCAAGTACGGTTCTCTGATCTTTAGCCTCAAACCTAGGAATGTTATTTATTTATTTAATCTATCTCTCTTAATATAAGCACTTCAGGGTTTGTTTGCTTGATGTAACCAGTCCAGGACTCTCCCAGGAGCAAACCAACGACTTTAATAATTTGCTAATATAAATCAAGCTGGCAACACCTGCCACATAAGTGAAGAGGCGGCAGACAGGTTTGTGAAAAATACAATCTGGTATTTTAGGACTAGAACATTTCTTACCAATCCCTTACTCCTTTCATAGTGGAAATATTTTTTAAAAAATATTTCTTTTAAGATAATTTATCTAAGGATCTTCTTATCGGGGCAATATTCTGACATTTCTCTAGTCTATATTTAAAAAAATTTTTTTTTCAAAGAAAAAAAAACAGCTGGATGGTGGTGGTGTACACCTTTAATCTCAGCACTCGTGGGAGACAGAGGTAAGCGGATCTCTGTGAGGCTAGCCTGGTCTACAAGAGCTAGTCCCAGGACAGTTAGGGCTGTTAAACAGAAAAATGCTATCTCGAAAAACCAAATATCTATCTATCTATCGAAAACCAAAATAAATTCACATTCAGAACAATTTCTGGCTGGGTATGGTGGCAATGCCTTTAATCTGAGCAGCCAGTCTTGTCTATATAGTGTGTTTATGACAGCAGGAGCTGGTCTTTAAAAACAATCAAACAAAAACCTATGACTTTTAATGTTTAATAGGTCCTTGTCTGTCTTGTCTTTCATTGGGAATAAATTTTCTGGACATGACAGAATTGCCAGAAGAGAAAACAAATACTTTAGATCTGTAGTTTCAGAAGCAGATAAAAAATAAGACTGAGAAAATCAGTCTCCTTTCTGAATTAGGGACTACCTGTCTTCTGAAGATTACAGATAGCTGAAGGACAAGTCACAAAGCTGAAATGGTGTGTAACTGGCTTCAGGAGCAACAATTTTTATTCCAAGTCATCAAGGGTGGTGGTGGGGGAATGACACAGCTGCATTTCTTGTCAAAGGTAATTTTATCAGGAAAGCCCAAACCACTGCTCAGGCTTCAGGATGGGAAGTCTAGACCCAGCAAGACGAGGCAGCACAAGCACACCCACCATCTGTCTACAACTAAACTCCCAGAGAAGACATAGGACTCGGCAAAGAGCTGACCAGACCGTGAAACCAAACAGCACTCAATCTTAAAGGTGTATTTTTCTTCCCAAATATTCCAGTTTAGACATAAGCACAGCCCAAATCCCATAGCTGAGCAATGAGGTATAAGCAGAAAAATACACTCCGAGAAATTTCTAGAGAACCAAGCAAGGTAATGTAAAAGGGGTGTGCATATGTGTGTGTGTGTGGGGGGGGGTGTACTTGGTTTTGTTTTTTTCTCAGCAACATGCAAAATAAGCTGTAATTCCAAGTCAGGTACTCTGACAGCCACACAAAGATGTTCATGTGTTTGAGATCCTGATATTTCTCATGCTGACCTCCAGTTCCCAATCTTCTTGCCTGTCTCCCTAGGGATGGGATTTCAACTGGGATTAGCACCTTGCTAGGACTATGGAGATTTTGAAACTAAATTTAGATAGGATGCATAGCCTCAACTGTGTCTGAACCCAGCAGGTTGATTGCATCCTCAAAGCAAATTCCAACAAAAGCATTCTCTAGAGGATGACAGCACACACTCTTACACCAAATGTCCAGGACATGATCCAAACTACTTTGTGTTCTATAGCCTTAAAAAAAAAAAAAAAAAAAGAAGCGCTGGGCGGTGGTGGCTCACGCCTTTAATTCCAGCACTCGGGAGGCAGAGACAGGTGGATCTCTGTAAATTGGAGGCCAGCCTGGTCTACAGAGAGAGTTAAGGGACAGGCTCCAAAGCTACAAAGACACTTTGTCTCGAGGGAAAGAAAAATAAAAATCATTCAAGATCATGATGTAATAAACAGTAAAACCAAGACCAAAACTCATGTTCTAATTATGTGCCCAGGGCTTTCTTTACAGCCAGGTGACCTTGGGAGAAAATAGAGCAATCTCAGAGTTAAGGGTTAAAATGATAATCGATAAAATTTATTTTATTTATTTCTTTTTTTTTTGGTTTTTCGAGACAGGGTTTCTCTGTAGCTTTGGTGCCCATCCCGGAACTAGCTCTTTTAGACCAGGCTGGCCTCGAACTCCCAGAGATCCGCCTGCCTCTGCCTCCCGAGTGCTGGGATTAAAGAAAATTTAATTTTTAAAACAAGTATTTTCCTTTTTTTTTTCCTATTTGCAATTTAAGTATTTAAGGCTTATGTCTACCACACTATAATAGATACAGGATAGGTCAGAGGTACTGAGAGAAAAGAAAACTGCCAAGATCCTTTCTCCAGTGCTGCTTTCTCGATTAGCAACAATTCTAATCTCAGCCAGGGTTTAAAATGTTAGGTGTCCGGGCAGTGGTGGGCACACCTTTAATCCCAGCATTCAGGAGGCAGAGACAGGAGGATCTCTGTGAGTTGGAGGCCAGCCTGGTCTACAGAGTGAGTTCCAGGACAGACTCCAAAGCTACAGAGAAACTGTCTTGAAAAATTAAAAAAAAAAAAAAAAAAAGTTAGTTGTTGAGGGAGGTGGCTCGCTGACTAAAGTGCTTGCTGTGCACACAAGAGGACTGGAGTTCAGCCCCCGAGAAACCATTTAACCTGTACACCAACTGACAGGATGTTGCAGCGATCTGCTTTTAAGTAGAGCACTGGGAAGGTGGAGACAGGGTTAGACTAGACCTCTGGGTCTCAGACCCTGCCTCAAGGAGTAAAGTGGACAGCCACTAGATGTTGGCCTTGGACCTAGACTGTGTATAGGCACAGGAGTACCCAATACATACATACACACACATACTCACACACACACACGTTACCTATACACATACACACAATTTTCTTGATAACCTTTGCCTAGTATAATCAACTCCTCTCTGAAATCATAATCATTCCTAACACTGACTAAAGCCCATATTAACAGTCTCTAGTATTTCTTCACTCTTTCCTTTAAACTGTTGCTACTATAGTCTCAAGCTCTTCAGGGAATGCTGTATTCAAATTCCTTAGCTCTAGGGTCCAGCACACTAAGTAACACAACAATATACCAAATAATGGTGACAGGTTTTCTTCACGATTCTTTCAACTAATCACTACAAGCCTATTAACCTGGCTTAATAGAGGAGGAGACAGATACGCCACTGAGATGAAGTAACTTGTTAGCTACATTACAAGCCTCCAGCTGATAGACTTGGCTTGTGGCAGCTAGATTCTCACTAGCAGCCCCCCGTATGTCCACTATGCCCACGCTTGGTCTATCATATATAACTAACTGAAATATACCAAAAGTAAAGAATAGGTTTAACTCTTTTCTTTACTCCCCTAGGTATCATTATTTTCCAAGAAAAGTTTCTAAGCAACCCACTCATAATAAAGAATATGTCCAAAACAAAAAAGACACAAAGCCAAAACATAGAAACTCTATGTAGACTCTGTATTCCCAACGGCTTTAGAGTTTGACAGGACATGGGGTGAGCACTGTAGTAGCAAATATGAAAGCGTGAAAATTAACAGAACAAACTAAATCTCTTGCTAAACAGGCAACCTTGAGCAAGGAAACTTAAGGAGCTGGTTCCCACATGCAAAATGGAAACTCCACTTTCCAAAAGATTATACACTACACAACTTCCACAGTACAATGCTTGGGACTTGCCCACTAAAATTGGGGGAAAATGTCAATCATTTTGTTTCAAAGTAAATACCTATCTGAAGATCCCTTCTCTCCTCAACATTATAAACCAACAGATTCAGCTGCATGTTACAGTATTAGTTCATCATCCCTGTCTTCCCCATACCATACAATCTCAGTCCATTCATTTGTACCCATTAGCAGACCGCTATTCCTGCTAGTACAGCGGGCTCTCCTCTAACTTAAACATAACCTACCATCCCTGAAGCATGAGGTCACTAACAAAAAGATGGCAGTTTCCATTTATGCATACTCTGAAAACAACAGTGCACCCTGGTTTTAGCAACAAGCCAGACTCTACCAATACCTACCACTTATTCAAATGCTTTACTGACAGAATTCCCAATGGATGGTGTATGTAGCTGTCTACCAACAACCACTGCTATTTGGTTCCCAGGATATCCTGCTAAGTCAACCAATTATTTCTATTAAGCACTGTGTGGGAAATGCCACTTACCTTCTATTTCAACCAAAGGTTCTTGAGTAAACTCCTGAAAGAATTTGTAGAAGAACTTACTGCAGGCAGCCAAAACAGCCTTGTGGGCCTTAAAATGGTGTCCTAAGGTAGAGGGGTTAGGGTGGGGGGAGAAAAAGAAATCATACACTGACATCAAAATCAAAGTTAAAACTACAAAATGTGGCTGGGCGGTGGTGGCGCATGTCTTTAATCCCAACACTCGGTAGGCAGAGGCAGGTGGATCTCTGTGAGTTCGTGGCCAGGCTGGTCTACAAGAGCTAGTTTCAGGACAGGCACCAAAAGCTACACAGAGAAATCCTGTCTCAAATAACACCCCCCCACCAAAAAAACAAAAAAACAAAACCCACAAAATGTATAAAGGAGACCTCTCCGCATAATATAACTGTTATTTATCTTGGGAATTTTTAATTTTAATTAGACATGAAACTAAATTTGTAACTTCAAATACTTAAGCCAATTTACGAGGAATGTCTTCTAGCACTTTGTTACATTCAATTAAGTAATAAGGTATATTTAAGCTGAAAACTGTGAAATACTGGCTAAAGAAATGACTCAGTAGTTAAGAGAACCAGCTTCTCTTCCAGAGGACCCTGGCTCAATTCCCAGCACCCACATGGCAGCTCAAAACTGTTGGCAAGTCCAGTTCCAAGGGAAGTGACCACCAATCAGGCATGTGCTGCGTATATACATGTGCGAGGCCCAAACACTCATACGCATAAAATAAATTTAAAAACCTGCTAAATATAACAACCCAGCAGTCTATATATCATTTAGGAAGATATCTATATCTAAACACTACAGGCCCCGCAGTGGTGGCACTCTGGAGGTAGGCAGAGGCAGAAGGATCTCTTGTGAGTTGGAGTTTAGCCAGGTCTACAGAGCAAGTTTCAGGACAGCCAGGGCTGTTGCAGAGAGAAACTGTGTCCCCAAAAGAGAAAAAAGGTACAAAGCTACATGTGTCTGGTATGGGAAATGTTTTGATATGCCTACCGTATCTGTAGGCACAACACACCTACAAACTCCTATAATAAGAACAGCTTGTCTTGGAAGCCCATTTTCACTAAATACAAAAGAATTCCAACCTGGATTTGCCCGTACATGGAAGACTGGTAAAGACCCCAACTAATGTTGGAGTACCCCAAAGTGAGGTGAGGGCGAGTGTAGCCAGTGTCTCTCTTCATTCCCCTTCCCACACCATTTTTGGAAAACTACAATGAAAATTTCCCAAATGATTCCTGGGTTGGACTCTCCAAGTGGCTTGCTAAGAGGAAGCTTATTAACAAAACGTTGAGACAGCCTCCCTGTTTTGTTACCAAACATTCTGAGGTATTTTCTCACTCTTCGAGGCCCTTATCTTACGCTCGAGAGGGCAATGAGAAAACTTGAACAGGTTGCAAGAAGTTAAAAATGCGATGCACCTCAGACTAGATTAAAATTAACAGTGGCCAACCAGATTCCTGCAGCATGGTCTACGTGAGCAACACTGACAAGCGCCCTCCTGGTTCCGATGCAAACCCTCCACGACTTTGGAAGAGAGCCCGGAGGGTGGGTTAAAAAAGGCGGGCAGGGAGAGGGAACTAAAGCTCCAATTTTCTCCTCTGCCCACTCCCCTACCCACCGTCGACAATCAGGGTTATGTCTGTAAACCGGTCCTGCTCCCGTTGTTCATTCAACCGGTCCAAGATCATTTTATGATGTTCAGGAAACTCCTGAAGGCATTCCATCGTCTCTTCAGCCTCCATGGCCGTCGGGGTGCTCTACAAAAGAGGAGCATGATAATGTACACCCATGAGCTCGGGCTGACACAAAAACCCCTACAGCCGAAAACAAAACCCAGGAACGGGGGAAGAAGGGGGAGGGGGAGGCCGACAGCAAGGCTGGGGAAGAAGAAAGGCGAGCCGAGCGGCCGCCGCGCGTCGCGGGCCGGAGCCGCGGCCGCGGGACTCCGAGCCTGACCTAATTGGAGTCTGGAGACGCGAGGTGGAGCGGGGTGAGCACGGTGCCGGAGGCTCCGGGCGCCCGGGAGCGCCAAGTCCGGCCAGGGAGGACACCGAACAGCCACGGCGACCTCCCAACGGCCCGCCAAGACTTCCGCCCGACCCGGGCTCCCGCAGCCCCAACCCCGGTCCGGCCCGCGGCCCACAACGACTCCCGGGTCGCCTCTCCCTCCGGCGCCCTCCCTCCTCCCCTCCCCCCCGCCCCCCCGCCCCGACCCGGCCGGCACTCACTCAGGGAAGGAGGAGCGGCCCGGGCCTGCGCGTCACTTACGTCGACGTGCTGCGTCACCGCGCCGGACGCGGACGTACAGGGAGGGCCGAGCCCCCCCCCCCCCCCGCAACGCCTGGCCACGCCCCTACCGCCCTGTAGGGAGGGGAGGGAGGCACCGGGCTGGGGGGTGGGATTCGGTGCTGCCGCGGGCGCGCGCGCGGGGGCTCTGTGGGCTGGTGCGGCTTCTCCTGGGAGAACCGAGCACTATCAGGACTGGAAAGGGTGGGGCCCTCGGGCGCCAAGCTCCCGCCCGCCGTCCGCCCCCACCGGGCTCAGGCACCGCACCGCACTTCCGACCGCGAACTCCGAGAAAACTGGCTCAGTGGCCCGGGACACTTAAGTGCCGCGGCCCGGCCCCGCCCCGCCCCGCCCTCTTCCTTCCCGGGGCCGAGGTACGCCCTTACCTAGCTGGCGCCGTGTCCGTGGGCCTCCCTCTCCACGCGCTCCCCTCCCGTGGCGCAGCTGGTCCGGTGCCCGGACCATCCCTCGCCCTCCATTTTCACCTCCGCAGCCGGAGCACAAGCTCCGCCAAGGGTCCCGCGGACGGCGGCCGCGGGCGCGAGCACGCTCGGACGCCCCGGGATGCCTCTCCCCAAGGTCCGCCCTGCGGTGGCAGCACGCGTCTTCAGACTCAGATATCAGAGACCGGGCCCGCTCCAAGAGATCCAGTTGTGATTCCTTCATCACAGCGCCCCGCACCCGCCTCCTCGACCCTAAGGAGGCTGGAGACGGCCCCTCAGCTGCACGTGGCAGGCTCATTCATTCATTCAAAGAAAGGCGCGGTGGAGGATAATGCTATAATAGCTGGGGTGTCGTGATCGTTAATCTCTCAAAGAGTTGGAGAATAAGGATTAATGGAAAATCAAACGGCTGCCTGGGGCAATGCCGTGATGGTCACTATTTAAGAAACTGAGAGCGCAGGGGTGGACGAGGCACACGTGGTTCCTAACTTCTGACTCGGAACAGCAGTGGACTGAACGCTCAGTTTTAACACACAAGGTTATCTGGAGAATCCAGAAAAGTCAACAAAGAGGTGTGTGTTTATAGCCAAACACACACAGCACGTGCACACTTGGAGGTCAGAGTGTCCCTGTTGCTGGGATAGGCACATGATAGCCTTTTAAGTATTAAAAGATGTCAGGTTTCCTTACCATTTTAGGAAAGGAATCCTTGAAGATTCAGCAGGAAGAGATGAGAGAAATAATTATGAGGGGACAACTAAGTGGACATGATAATTTATCGAAGAAGAATTTTGCTGTATGAGCCCCTTTGGGAGAAAGAACTAGCCTTAGCGATTCGGAAACAGCACACAATGAGCATTACGGACAGAAGTGAATGGAATATTATAAAGGATTAGCGCCTTGTAGATTTTAACTGGTCCACTGCTGTTTTCAATATCAGGAAATTATTTTATTCCTGATATTAGGAAATTATTATTCTTTAATTTAAAAAAAATGATGCGTATGATTGTTTTGCCTTCATGTACCTATATGCACCATGTATGTGTCTCTTGTCTAGATGTCGGAAGAAGGCGTGAGATCTAGAACTGGAGTTACAGATGGTTGTGAATTACCACGTGGGTGCTAGGAGTGGAAATGGAAGAGCAGCAAGTGCTCTCAACTGCTGAGCCATCCCTCCAGCCCCCTGTTCACACTATTAGAAGGAAATTATGCATAAAAATAGGCTTTGGGGAAACTCCAGTATATAGATCTGCTTCCCTGTGTGTTTACCTGGGAAACACTTCTGTGTTTTTAGGATTTGAGCTCTCCAATTCAACACAACACTTTCTAATATCTTAGGTTTAGTGCATAACATTGATTTCGGTCATTTGTTTGAGAAAGGATCTCACTATGTAACCTGACTGGCTTGGAATTCGCTATGTAGACCATGATGGCCTCAGACTCACAGATAGACTTGCCTCTGCCTCCCTAGTGCTGGAATCAAAGGCATACACCATCACGTTCAGCCAGCCATAGCATTCATTTTTGGATACTTGCCTAGTCCAGAGTTTGAAGCTCCTGTGCTTTAAGCATCCAAATGGAAGCAACAGTGTTTAACCCCGGAGAAGTATCTACTCAAGTTTGTACACTTGAGTAGAAAGGAGTCTGGAAAGATCTGAGAAGCGCAGCTAGAGGAAGGTGGGAAACAGGTAAGTTGGCATCCAGAAGGCCTTGCAGGAGGAGGGTTCCTAAAGGGCAGGACTGCGCTGCTGGAGATGGCTCAGTCCCAGAAGTCCACCTAAAATGCCAAATGGATGTGATGGCCCTCCTATAATTTCAGACTTAAAAGGCAGAGATGGGATTCTCAGAGTGCTGGCTTGCAAGACTAGCCTTCAATGAATAAGGGAGAAGAGACATGGAGTATGATTTCTGACATGAACAGGTGCACCCCCACACATAGAAGGAAAAAATTCACAATGGGGCAGGGGACACAGTGCTGTTCAGCGGTGTTGAATGGCCACACTGGACAAGGGGGATAGTTTAGGAGATGCACTTTGTGTCTTGGGCATGTTTGCTAAATACCTTAGTAATAGCAGATTTGGTGAAGAAAGGGCCAAAGATATCTACATTCAAGTAGATTAAATAATAATTAGTAATATTTTGCTAACTGTACGGAGCCAGGTGTGGTAGCACACGCCTTTAATCCTAGTACTCAGGAGGCAGAGGCAGGCAGATCTCTGAGTTCGATCGAGGTCAGACTGGTCCACAAAATGAGTTCCAGGACACCCAGGGCTACACAGAGAAAACCTGTCTTGAAAAAAAAAATCTTAAAAATACTACTTTATGGTTTCTGTGAAACAGCATCCTGACTGTAACTTAGCTGGGTTTTCCTTGTCTCTCACTGGCTTCAGTCAAGGTGGCAGCTAGGGCTGTTGTTCCCTTGCTAACGTTCATTGTCACTATGTTTCTATGTGATAAAAACATAAAATAGAAGGGAGATGAGGTTTATTTTGACTCACAGGTTTGGGGGCTCCTTCAGCTAGGGCTGGCTTATTTCCAAAGCTGCAGTAACATGAAGCCGCTGGTCACAACATAGCAGCAGACAGGGAGCAGAGTGCTTGTTCTGGAAGTTGGTCAGGCTATAACCCTCAAAGGCTGGCTTCCCATGACCTGCCTACAAAGGCATACCCCTCTTCAAAGTTTCCAACTTCCCCAAACAGTATCACCCAAGGACCAAGCATTCAAGAGGAAAAGCCTTGGAGGGCTGTTGACCACCAAACCGTCATCTCAAGGCTCAACTCGGACAGGTCCAAGGTCACAAAATAGGTTCTTTACAGAATTCACCTCCCCCCACACTCCTAGACCAAGTGCTCAGTTCTTTACAAGACTTCCCTCCATCTCAGACTCCTCAAGGCATGACAGCTTGATCCCAGCAGAGAAAGTGTGAAGGTACGAAAGAACAAGACATGGCAAAATCTTTTCTTAAAAGCTGTTTTAGTAAGCTGTCTGCTACTGTCAAGAAATGCCCAAGACTTCACTGGTCACTGAGGCAGTGCGTGCATGTCGGGCTGCCTTTATCTTTTCTATGAGTCGCACGGAAACATCCGCTTAAGTTCTTTCATTTGTACCATTTCTTTAAATAAAGAATTTTGGTACCAAAAAAAAAAAATGCCCAAGATAACAGGCTTAAGAGGGAAGGCTGATGCTGACTGACAGCTGTAGAGGCTTCAGTTTATGGTTAGCTCAGCTGCTTTCCATCCTGAAGGGAGGAAATGTTTCACTGTGGGGAGGGGGTACTTGCTTTGCAGCTCGTGGGTGTTGGTCTTTAATGCTGGAAATCTTGTTAGTGGGGTATCCGATAATTCTTGAGAGCTATGGAAGAAGACAGGACAGGGGTCGAAGGGAGTGACTGTGTGTTTGACATGAGCTGGCGTGTCCAGGACCAAGGCCTGGGGCTCATGGGAAATTGACAAAGCCTTCCCCGTATAGGTCACATTTAGAACATTTAGAAATGTTGACAGTATGTACAAATAGGAGTGTTTCTGAATGATTGACCAGTGTGAACAGACTAGCAACTGCAGCTTCCTCCTTCCTGATGCTTACAACCTGAGAAGGCACAGAACACATCTACTCACCCCAGACAGGGATCCCATGATAGACCAAGAGTGCAGATACCAACGAAGTCCAACTTGGTGAAACAATGAGTTTTGAAATCTTGCCCTGCTGAGTTTTTTTTTTATTTAAATTAATTAATTAGTGTTCTGCCTGCACCAGATCCCATTACAGATGGTTGTGAGCCACCATGTGGTTGCTGAGAATTGAACTCAAGACTTGGAAGAGCAGGCAGTGCTCTTAATGGCTGAGCTATCTCTCCAGCCCCCTGCTGGGGTTTTGTTTTGTTTTGATTTTTTTTTTTGTTTTTTTTGTTTTTCGAGACAGGGTTTCTCTGTGGTTTTGGAGCCTGTCCTGGAACTAGCTCTTGTAGGCCAGGCTGGTCTCGAACTCACAGAGATCCGCCTGCCTCTGCCTCCTGAGTGCTGGGATTAATTGGGATTAAAGGCGTGCGCCACCACCGCCCGGCTGATTTTTTTTTTGTTTGTTTGTTTGTTTTTTGTTTTTTGAGACAGAGTCTCACTATATAGCCTTGGCTGTCCTGGAGTTCACTACATAGACCAGGCTGGCCTCGAAATCACAGAACTCCACCTGCTTCTGCCTCCTCAGTGCTGGGATTAAAAGCATGTGCTACTATGACCAGTGAACCAATGCGTTTTATTGGGTTATAGGAGCAGAAATGACTCAAAGACAACTACATCACCAAGGCTCACCCCATGGCTCATAGCTTACAAAAGCAGGGAACTTGGAGCATGCCGCACAGCCTGTAGGCAGCTCAGCAGGTTGTATCCTTTCCTGGCGGCTCAGTTGATCAACACCTCTGCCGGGTGGCTGGGCTGGTTTCTGCTTCTTTCA